GCAGTGTTAGTGTCACACCGATGGCCATCCACGACAACCCCAATGAATCCATTGATGACGGGATTACGGCTCCCGAACCCACTCCTGAGATACAGAAAACCAGATCTAAACGTATCATTGAATCCGTAGACCAGACATCCAAACCGGTAGAAAAGGTGACCAAAAAGAGGGGTCCGGCGCCTGGAAAGGCACCCAAAGCCAGTGCCACAGAACCAGTAGTTAATGAGCCCACGGATGACCAAAATACCGACTCTAATGTAATGCAAAGTTTTAATAATTTGAGAGTTTTTGTGTTAATTTGTATTTATTTGACAGAAAACAGAAACTTCTGTTAAAAAGACACAAAAGACGACCAAAAAGAAAGTGGTGATAGACTTGCCTTCCGAACCGCCCACTCCTAAGATAAAGAACACCAGATCTAAGCGTACCATTGATTCCGTGGACCAGACATCCAAACCGATAGAAAAGGTGACCAAAAAGAAAGTGGTGATAGACTTGGCTCCCGAACCCACTCCTAAGATACAGAAAACCAGATCTAAACGTATCATTGAATCCGTGGACCAGACGTCGAAACCGGTAGAAAAGGTGACCAAAAAGAGGGGTCCGGCGCCTGGAAAGGCACCCAAAGCCAGTGCTAAACAGGCGATGGCAACAGAGGTTCCCGTTCAGGCCATTGATAATGAAAAAGTAATTTTTTCATTAAACTTTAGATTTGTTGGTTAAGTATTAATTTGTAACTGTTTTATAGGAAACCCAACCGAAGCCCAGAAGAGGTGCGCCCCCTGTAAAGGCACCCAAAATTAGTGCCAAACAGGTAAAGGCACCCAAAACCAGTGCCAAACAGGTAAAGGCAACAGAGATTTCTATTGAATCCACTGAACATCAAAAGGTAATGTTTACCTAAAATTGCTATTTTCTAGAGTTTTATTTAAATTGTTTTTGTTTTATAGGAAACGGAACCAAAGGGGCGAAGGGGTCGAAAGGCGACCAAAAAGGCTGAGGAAGTGGTAGAGGTGGAAGTGCTGTCACCGGACGTGCCGAAGACCAGGAATACGAGGTCTAAGCGTCATATCGATTGCGTTGAACTGTCGCCCAAACCGGCGAACACAAGAGCCAAACGCAAAGCTAAGCCATAAAAGACTGAAATAATTTATTTTTGATAAATAATTACATTATTCATACGATACATGTACTGTACATAAACGCCTGATTTTGATGGCCCTTTGAATATAAATGAAAGATTTTTTACGCATTTTTAAACTCAAAAATTATCACATTTACCGTATATTAGTATAATATATATCTATATCCTATAATTTGTGTCATAAATCGTTCGTTTCATTGAATACAATATATTTTGTTTTGTAATATTTTGAAGCATTTTTATTTTGATACGAAAACATTTTAATTGCTATTTGTCTCGTATAATATTTATCTCATGGAAAGCGCTGTATTTATAATAACTCTGGGTTTATAAGTGAATAATAAAATTGATTTTTCACTCCTATTTTTTGAATGAAAACGAATTTTCTAAACTAATTTAACACTTAATTTGATTAGTTTTGGACTCAATTTCTCTAAACTAATTAATGATCACTCACTCAATTGATAGCAGAAATAATTGCTTTGTTTTTGATTTGGATTTTAAGAATTAATTTCTTATTTTCATATATGATTTAATGCATAACCAAATAGACTGATAAACCGGTACTTGCATTTTGAAACCACTTTTATTTGTTTTTCAATACTTTTTGCAATATTTCTCTATTGCTTTGAAAACATTGTCATAAATAAGGAGATTTCGTTTGAACATAAATTTAATTAAAATAAATGTTAAACAATAAAAAACACATTTTGCTCTTTATGTATCTAATTGAGATTAATTGTGTGTCTGCCCCTCCCGTACCCCTACATAAACTGCATAAACTATAAAAAAAAGTTCGGTATTTAACGATAAGACATGTCATTAAAATTCATATTTGACTCGAGGCTAAAACTATTGATTTGTGAAGTCATTAGTGACTTGGAAATCATTAAAAATCAAATAAGACTTTAATTTCATTTTGTTATTTAAATATTTAAATAGCATTTCGTAGAGGTATTGAAAAGTATTGAAGTAATCGCTCGACAGATATGTTATACCTTATAATCAATACCAACGCCCAGACAATGTGTGCACCAGAATGTGCTACAGAACCACAGAATTGTGTATTCAATCACTCAATCACTGCATTTGCATTCACACACACCCTTCGCACCGACCTCTGCGATGGGCGGTTGTGTCACAACTAATAAAGAGATATCTCGTCGAGGAATAGCTGTATTCAAAAATGGCCTCTAATTTGGCCTCAAATTGTTCAGCACTTGTATCACTCATATACGAGTCGAGAGTTAGTCTTAATTGAATGAATCAAATGTTTGTTTTAATGTCTCTGGGAATGACGGCTCTTATGCCGTTCCTATTGGGCTAACTGTGCAAACAAGAGCTCAATATAATTGACATTAATTTGTTTAATATTTATTCATAATATCTGTACGAAAAACAGTGGAAAAAGTAATTATTCTCTTAAAGCTTATTGAAAACGACAAATCAAATTATGAGCCCTAATGGGGATGTCGTGAAGTTTTATGAACAGCTAATAGATATCGGAATTCTTTGATATAAGTTACGAGAGTGTAGTGTATGTGTTAGGGCTTATCGGTGAGGGTATGGTATGGTATATGGCTTATGGTTACGAGAGTTGAATAATAGTGAAGGGACGCCAAAAACACACGCATTTAATATGTTATAAGTGCTGCAACCGCTATATATCGTGATCCCAAAAATATAGTTTGATTATAATCTCAAAAGTCACAAAATTAGCGCAAAAGTTAAAAATTAATCTCAAATTATTCTATATGTGAGAGGTTTGAGCGAAAACTTTATCCGACAGTAACTCGATATTAGGTATACTTTTATGAATTTCATGTGCACTTTGGCAGTGAGAGTAATATTAATAAAATAAATGCACATTTAATTGCATGAGTGTTTCCATTGGAAAGGGGTTTGGGTGCCAATGGTCTATGCGCTGGTAGACTGAGTTCCAGATAAAACTAGAGAATTATATTTTACTATTTTTTATGACTATTGATGATTAGGCGTATGCTCTCACTTACTCTCCCTTCCTATCATAGCTATACCCACTCTCCCTCTCATGCTGTAATAGTTATGCTATTTTTAAACATACAATAGGAATACTGTCGGAGAGAGAGAGAGAGGGAGAGAGAGAGAGAGAGAGAGATGGTTTTGGTGAGCGGCGAATTGACGCAAACTCAATGACATTTGCGTTGACTGTACGCAAGCTATGGTACAATAGTGAGTTTGTGAGTACAGAATATTCTGATGTGAGGCACGACTGAAAATCAGGCGAAGCACTGAAGCATTTCTCTGCTAACTATTCATATGAGTGGAGCACTGGTTATAGAGAGAGTGAGTGCATAGACTGCACAGACAGTGAATACAGTGAACGGCTATAGGGAAGAGTGAGAGGGAGAAGAGACAGAGAATACAGTGTCAGTGAATCAGTGAATAAGTGCAGTGTATATACATATATATACTCCAAACGAAAGTGTGTATAAAGTGTTCAACATTTAGTGGAAAATCTGTTCAATTTGTGTGCATATTTTGCCACTAAATTGAGAATCGGCTGAAATGGTATGACACTAATAGCACTGTATATCCTAAGTGTTTGCTCATATATCCTAATCTGAGATCCATTTCCTGTCACTGAATCGACATTTGGCTCACTTTGCACTTTGCGATTGCATTCCCTTTTAGGGTAAGGATAAGGATGAGAAGCAGGCCAAGAAGGACAACCTGGAGGACCTCAAACAGGAGGTCTCCATGGATGAGCATAAGATCACATTAGAGGAACTCTATACCCGGCTTCAGGTCGACAACTGGGAGAACGGGTTGACCGCAGTTCAGGCCAAACAAGTGCTCGAAAGGGACGGACCCAACGCCCTCACGCCTCCCAAACAGACCCCCGAATGGATTAAATTCTGTAAACAACTGTTCGGAGGCTTCGCGCTCTTGCTATGGATCGGCGCTATCCTCTGTTTCCTCGCCTATGGTATACAGGCGTCCAGTTTTGAAGAGCCGGCGCCCGACAACGTATGTGTCATATCCCTGACGGGTACTCATGGGTTGCAAGTATTGACGGCTTTAATGAATTGTGTTTTGCAGTTATACTTAGGAGTGGTGTTGGCGGCGGTGGTCATCATCACCGGGTGCTTCTCCTACTATCAAGAGGCCAAGTCGTCAGCCATTATGGAATCGTTCAAGAATTTGGTTCCACAATACGCTACAGTCGTCAGGGATGGACAGAAGCATACCATCACTGCTGAGGACGTAGTGGTCGGCGATATCGTCGAAGTGAAAGGCGGCGACAGAATACCCGCCGATATTCGTGTTATTAAAGGTAGTCATGAAATAAATGTCATATTATTGACAATATTGTCTAAACACCTATTTGGACACAACAGCCCACGGATGCAAAGTAGACAACTCCTCACTGACGGGCGAGTCCGAGCCTCAAACCCGATCGTCCGACTTGTCCAGTGATAACCCGCTCGAGACCCGCAATTTGGCCTTTTTCTCGACCAACTGTGTCGAGGGCGCCGCCACTGGGATCGTCATAAACACCGGCGACCGCACTATAATGGGTCGCATCGCTAACCTGGCGTCGGGTCTGGCGATGGGAGAGACGCCGATCGCCCGCGAAATTGAACACTTCATTCACATCATCACTGGTGTGGCCGTCTTCCTGGGCGTCACGTTCTTCGTCATCGCATTCGTGTTGGGCTATCACTGGTTGGACGCCGTTATCTTCCTCATCGGCATTATCGTGGCCAACGTTCCCGAAGGTATGCCTCACACTACCCACTGATGCGTGAAATTGAGATTATAATCAATTTGTTTCATTCATTCACAACAGGACTGTTGGCAACTGTGACCGTATGTCTCACACTAACGGCCAAACGGATGGCCAGTAAGAACTGTTTGGTGAAGAACTTGGAAGCCGTGGAGACGTTAGGCTCGACGTCCACCATATGTAGCGACAAAACGGGAACTCTGACCCAAAACCGGATGACAGTCGCGCACATGTGGTTCGACAACCATATCATTGAGGCGGACACTACTGAGGACCAGANGGCCATGGAGACGTTAGGCTCGACGTCCACCATATGTAGCGACAAAACGGGAACTCTGACCCAAAACCGGATGACAGTCGCGCACATGTGGTTCGACAACCATATCATTGAGGCGGACACTACTGAGGACCAGACCGGTGTCCAGTACGACAAGAGCTCCTCTGGTTGGAAGTCATTGAGTCGGGCCTGTTGTCTCTGCAGTCGCGCTGAGTTTAAGGGCGGTCAGGACAACATCCCTATCCTTAAACGGTATATTCACATCACTATTGCTATGATATACTCGTGTAATACTAATAAAATCAATACTGCATTGTATTGTGCAGTGAGTGTGCGGGCGATGCGTCCGAATCAGCGATTTTGAAATGTATGGAAATAGCGATCGGAAATGTGACTCAACTCAGGAAACGAAACCCAAAGGTCTGCGAAATACCATTCAATTCGACGAACAAATATCACGTGACTATCCACGAGACGGAGGACCCGAACGACCCGAGCTATTTGTTGTGTATGAAGGGCGCACCGGAACGCATACTCGACCGCTCGGGCACTATATTCATCAACGGCGAGGAGAAGATTCTCGATGAGGACATGAAGGATGCCTTTAATGCTGCATATCTTGAGTTGGGAGGTCTCGGCGAACGGGTCATCGGTATGTGTGACTTGAGACTACCGGCCGATAAGTATCCGCCCGGATATCCCTTCGACGCGGATGAGGCCAACTTCCCGCTCAGTAACCTCCGGTTCCTGGGCTTAGTGTCGATGATTGATCCGCCGAGAGCTGCGGTGCCCGACGCTGTGGCCAAATGCAGGAGCGCCGGCATTAAAGTAATTATGGTTACCGGCGATCACCCCATCACTGCTAAAGCTATTGCCAAAGCGGTCGGCATTATATCAGAGGGTAAGCCTTCCTATCGTTTCTTATGATTTGCAGTACTTTTACATTACATAGCATACCATTGGTGTTAAGAATAGATACAAGAATTTCATTTTATTAATTAAGAATCACGTGAACACCAAATAACTCTATAATTAGACAACAATAACCCGGGGATTTATTACCCTTTTATATTGGTGGCATATAATTTTTAATATGCTTTCAAATCTATTTTAACTCAAATATAATTTTCATTATTCACTGCCGACTAATAAAAATAAGACTAAATAATTTAAAACCACTTTTTTCGAAGTGAATATACAGTCAGTCTATCGGAAAATTTGTTGTAAAAGCACTCGCACTGTGCGATAACACAGACTACACAATCCTATGCATTTAAAAATTGATGAAATATTTTATATATTTAATGATAACCAGCTCCACTACTGTAACACTACAACTAATTATGGTTTTTGGCAGTCATTTGCACTGAAGATAGAAAGAGCTAATTATCGTATATTTATATAATGTTATATAAATGATCGTAAAAACATATATATTTAATGAATTTTTTGCAGTGCTATACCGTATACCTCTACAAATACCTGCAATAACTACTCGTATTCTCCGGCCTTTTAGATAGATATTAGAGATGAAGCTTTTTCTAATGAAACTCACTTTTAATTAAATTTTTCAGCTCTCGAAAGAAATATTTGCAGCTTTTATTACATTTATTATGACTTTCATTACAACAGAATTGTGTTAACGAAAAAATTCTCGAGAAATGACTTTTTTCTTCTTAAGTGAATATATTATAGTATATATTAATGATAAGAATAAGGGATATCTTCTGATTAAAAACACAAGATTTTCTATTACTGGCTAAGATTGACAACAAGAGCCCTAAACTCTCGACAAAAAATATTATTAATACACGAATAGCGAGGAATTGACAGAGAATTTGAATTCTTGTGATAAATTTTAGTGAACATTGCATTTGCATATTATTACAATACACAGTCGACAATCATTATTATTATTCAATATATAGTTTTATTGATTTGCATATTATTTCATACCATTTGCTGGCATCGTGTGTAGCGATAAAAATACTTTTTTCACACTTTAATTAGAAAATTATAGCATACTTTTGCTGCAAAATTAAGTTTAGTTAAATATAACAGTGAAACTTATTTCTAGCTAAATAGAAATGTATAAAATATTTGCATAGCTTTTCTATGTATTATTTGATTTATTGCCTTTTTATGTTATAATAATATTTATAATAATCATAACATGTTTTGCAATAATTATATTGTAATACAATATTTACACAAATATAGAGTACTTTGTCTTTTGTACATAAAATTCATGTAATGGATAATGCAGTGCATAATGATTCTGTATATATGAATATAACTTATATAAGAATATATGAATATATGAGCAAAAAAGTTACATAAATCTTATCTCCCTTCCCCCACCACCTATGTGTCCGCCCATAAACCTCCAGGTACTGAGACTGTAGAGGACATCGCATTGAGACTGAATATACCGATCGAAGACGTGAACCCCCGGGACGCTAAGGCGGCTGTCATTCACGGCCAGGAGTTGAAGGACATGGGCGCCGACCAGTTGGACGAACTACTCCGGTATCACACGGAGATCGTGTTCGCCCGGACGTCGCCCCAACAGAAGCTCATTATAGTGGAGGGCTGTCAACGACAGGGCGCTATCGTTGCGGTCACCGGCGACGGTGTCAACGACTCGCCCGCCCTCAAGAAGGCCGACATCGGCGTAGCCATGGGTATCGCCGGCTCGGATGTGTCGAAACAGGCGGCGGATATGATTCTGTTGGACGACAACTTCGCGTCGATAGTGACGGGTGTAGAGGAGGGACGGCTTATCTTCGATAACCTCAAGAAATCGATTGCATACACATTGACGTCAAACATACCCGAAATCTCGCCCTTCCTCTTCTTCATAATATTCAACGTACCCTTGCCTTTGGGAACGGTTACCATACTTTGCATTGATTTGGGCACCGATATGGTGCCCGCCATCTCCTTGGCCTACGAACAGGTGAGACACACACCATCCCATATGTCGGTGCCGTTTGTATTGACCCGTTTGTATTGAATTGATGTTTAGGCCGAAAGTGATATTATGAAACGACAGCCCAGAGACCCAAAAGTAGACAAATTAGTTAACGAGAGACTCATATCCGTGTCGTACGGACAGATAGGTATGATTCAAGCGGCCGCCGGCTTCTACGCCTACTTTGTCATTATGGCTGAGTATGGCTTCAAATCGGACCTATTGTTCGGTCTGAGAGAGGACTGGGATTCCAAAGGTGTCAATGATTTAGAGGATTCATACGGACAGGAATGGGTTAGTAGTAGTGAATTCATATCTAATATCTGTATGTTTGCGTAAAATATCACATGAATAATGGGTTTACGGTGTTGTGGACAGACATATAAAGCGCGAAAGCAAGTGGAGTACACGTGTCACACGGCATTCTTCGTGTCCATAGTTGTGGTCCAATGGGCTGACCTCATCATCTGTAAGACCCGACGCAACTCCGTAATACAACAAGGAATGAGGTCTGCATACCATTCCCTTATATCCACTATTGAATGAATAATTGCTTTATTTGATTGAATGACTAAAATGAATACAATTCTCTTCCCATCGAAACCCATTGCAATGCGAAACCCATTCCCAACACCACAACAGGAATCATGTCTTGAATTTTGGTCTATTATTCGAGACATGTTTAGCAGCGTTTTTATC